TCTAAATTCAAAATTAATCTGATTCGAGGTTTGTAGCAGCTATCCATCATGGGCCATGGGTCGACTGGATTTCGTAAGAGCTTGATATCACGTACTTTTATTCTGGTGAAATTGAAAGTAATCAGGTGTCCGAAGCACGTTTGGCGTGGGCACGAAGCTGGGATAGCTTTCATGCAGTACTTGGAATTGCCCGAATCAATTGCAAAGATATTGTCAGGTGCCAAAGCAGAGCTCGAAACGCAAACGGCAGTAAGCAGAAATATGCGGTCTGTATTCTTGTTGAGAGGAGATTAGACGACTGTGGGTCGTGGTCTTCCCAGTGTACCTCCGATGGGACAATAAGAAACAGCTGCGAGCTGTTATCTCTTTTGACGGGACTGATGTGAAAGCGACTCGGTATCGCAACCTCCATTAAGAGCTGGTGAAATTAAGCGACAACCTTAAGGCGCAAGTAGAAGGGCTAGACCCTAAAGCTCAAAAGATTGACTCATTCTTGCCACAATATGACCTTATTGCTGTATTAGCACTACTGTGTGATGAACCTCGCAGGAAAGTAGTTTTTTTGTATTTGGAGTGACCGAGACAGTCCTAGGGATCGTAAGTCTACCCTCAGCGCCTCCGGCAGGAAAAAAATATTTTAAGGATGAATGTGCAAGAAAAAGAAATCCCCAAAATGGCACGGTTGGTACTAGAGAAGGAGCTGTGCTTGTCATTTGTAAGAAATGTGACTATCAGTGGGGACGCTTGCGGAGCCTTGAGTGCGAGAAGTGAGGGTGATATCGGCTAGATTACGACATGTTCCTACTATCCATTACTGAAGAAGTATCATAACATGTTCATTAAAATCTAACCACCTTTCAAATAAAAGAGTGTATCGCAAAGCTGACTTGATTTCCGGAACGACAAATTGCGCAACACTGCACTGACCTTTTACCAGAGGAGCAATTAGACGTCATTGACGCTGCCTACCGTAGAAAGTACGAAATGAATTTGGTGAGAAGAATAAAATGGCTATAATCGGCGCCGAGTTGTTGTGTCAAAAAGGCTAACGCCAAGTAGCTAGTTGTGCACGATTATAACGAGCTAAATACAACCAAGATTTCGGCATAAACACGGATTTCTAGAAAGGCTTTACTGCGTGAAAGCATGATAAGCTTCATTTCGTTCAATGCATTCGACCTTTTTTATGTTCATTACGAACACCTGAGCAACATTCTTTTCACTGCGGTGAGTAATTTGAGTGTGATAATTTGAAAGTGGCTGGTCATGCCGCAGTAGGTGTCTGATGACCCAAAAATGTTTAATTGCCGGAGTCGCAGCTGTTCAGGTCACACCATGGTTATGACGAAACCTAATTTTTCAATACGTTCGTCCGTAGTCGATCAGAGCACTGGCATCGGATCTGGAATATCATATTGAACACTTGCGAGCGGTGCTTAAGTGTATGAAACTAAATAATCTATTTGCTCGTATCGATGAGTATGTCTTTGACGCCAACGGAACTCTTTTGTTGCGTTACATCATCGGAATGCAGGGCCTGCGAGAAGATCTTGCAATGATGAAATCTGCTGTAGATTGGCCAGTAACTCAAATAGGCTGTAGAGATTGGAGTACAAACTATACCGAATTAGGACGATCCCATGCACAGACGAATCAGCGTCATTATCATCCCTCTAGCTTAGCCACTCTCTATGTTAGAGCAAAGACGCGACTTTGACTCTGAGGGTTCCTCAAGCTAGCATCAGAAGACAATGTTCTGATAGCGCAACCTAGATGAGTCCTATCTCCGCGAAGGACGCTCGCAGAGACCCCCCCGAAGCGAGCTGATTTGTCGCCATATCCGAGAGATGTATCGAGAGCCGACCGCGGAAGGCCTTGTTCTCCACCGGCCCCGCTCGATGAGCGAGAAGTAGTTCACTTTTTTTGGAATGTTTGTGGGCCGAATAGAACACCAGAGCTGTTACCAGTGTCTGATAACGTGGAAAAGGGTCTTCTATCTAGATGACCCAAGGAAGTTCGAGGCTCTACTTTGGCAATCTTTTATGCCATTAACGATCTGGTGCCCCCAGTCTTCATCTCACGAAGCAGGATCACTCGTCAAAACACGGCTTAACTTACAGCTGACTAATGAAGACGAACAAGCATGTAAACAACAGGGATGGGAGACGATGAGTACTTCCTTAAACGCCCGACTCGTGCATTGTATCGTACAAAGTAAACCATGAGTCCAATCTGTAGGCAGACGGTATGGTTAACGGTGTATTTAGCTGGCTAGTTGAGCTTTGAAATGGGTGAGAAGGCGCAATTTTCTCACCCAGTGTGCAAACTGAGTACGATTCTCACCAAAATCATCACAAGCTTCCAACATCCGCAGTACATTTCTGACAAAGGTGTAAGTTATACACTTAATGCCGCTTCCAGCGCAGGTGCACTCGTGAGTTCATAACACCAGAAAGTGCTTGAGAAATATATTTGGCCCTCATTTTGGGCTTGGTGTTCGCAAAATGATCATGTCCCAGTTCGTCGAGCAACTTCAGAAATTTAAAGATTTATTCACGACGTGGTGATATATGAAACGGTTGGTCTGACTTGTGCGTTCCCAAGCTGATGAATACCGGACCACATGAGCCAAGTATGGCCTTTGTTAAGCTGGGCATCGTCGTGCATTTCACGGCAATGTTTCGATACCCTACCCGCGCAGAAAAACATTGCAAATTTGTAATTCGTCAGGAGTGAAGGCGAAGTGGATTGAGCGCTTTCTTTCCAGTGAGCGGTCCGACGGTATGAAGGCATAGGAGTTGATTTAGGATCAAGAGAGTTGTGGGATGTTGTCGTTGCAGCAATACTAGGGTCTGTATACAACGATACGAATTATTTTTGATACCCCCATCAAATCAGATACCCCCCTCAAATCAGATACCCCTACTTCTTTTGTTTGTTCTCCCAATCTTCGCACCTGTACTTTAAATTTGACGAAGACATTGCGGATGTCGCCATGACACGTGTTGTCTGAAGTCCCAGTGTTATCCCCAATGATACTTACCGTTTCAATGCATTTTCATCTTTAAGCTTAATTAAAACAGCAACAACAAATACAAAGTGTGCTTGAAGGGTGAAGCAATATCAATTGACCTCTCGTTTGGTTGTCGGCGGACTACCATTATGATTAGCCCATTTGTGATTCGGGACATGTACAATGATTTTTTTTCCTTGCATTTGGTACAATTCTATTAGCATATATACGCTACAATTTCATACACACTTTCTTGCTATTGTGATTATTCATAATCAAAACGGATTATTGGTACAGATAAGAATTTTGAAACTCCGAAAAGGAGGAGTCAGTGGTTCACATGGGCATCTAGTCGGACGTTAGTAAGGAAATACCATTTATTTTGAATGATAGTTAAATGGATATATTTAGAATCGGTCTAAAGAAGAGTTTATTCTGAATATATGTACTCTTAACAGAGCAAAAATAGAGTTGGTTTCTTTGGTTCTGTTCTTGGTAAAACTAACCTCTGCGTTTGTCAATGAAGCTCTAAAATCAGATTTTTGCACAACAACCCAATCGCACGAAGTTTGTGGGCAACAGTTTAGGATTGGTATCTGCTGTTACGAAGGTCCCTTGAAATGCTATGCCTTCGCCCCTTCAGAATATTTTGTGACTTCTGTCTATACTTTGGGCATTTGTGTTTTATCAGATTGCCACCACCATGTTTCAATCCATCACGTAATAAAGTGAAATTGGGTTGGTCCTTTGTGTCAAATTAATAAAAGCAATTAAGACGAACTCGACATGAAAGAATATCAAAGTGACGGCTTTATAAACAAATTACAGACGTTTGTTTTTTAGTCAAAGTCGACGTAGTTGGAATTCACACGTCCAACTTCATTTAGATGTAAAGACGCTAACCACTGGGCTGGCTTGGCACAATTAGCTGGAATTTGCACCTCTATGGCTGGACCTCCACCGTAAATACTGTGATAATAGTCCCAGCTTTTCCTATTTATCATTCGAAAATCTTTTTTGATGACGAGGTGGGGTTTAATCTGAAACGTTCCATTCATCAGATCGTCCGATATAAGTGGCATGTTGTCCATAATTCCTGGACTGTGGACCTCTTCGCCTTTGTACTTCGAAACAAAAAGGAGCCAGGCACGAATCCAGTCCGCATGAAGAGCAAACCATGTCTCACCAGGGCTCGGATTCGTCTGGTGAAGACTCTGGAGAATGCGCACTTCGGATCGAATATCATGTACCACAAGGGACTTAGAGCTGCGACCAAACTCGTCCTCGTGAGTCACGAGCGTGTTGAACATGTTCGAAACGCGGCCGTTCGTCTTCGCATTGTAACTAGACGGAACACCGTAACCGTTAAATCGAACCAATAGCTTACCAGACTTACGATTGTTGATACCATCCAAAGCGTCTCGGCGAATCATTTGCTCTGTTTGATGCAGGTAATACTCGTTTTCCTGCTGCGGTTGCTGCATATGAGGATACGTAAAAAATCAGGAATAAAGCAATACAATAACCCTCTGGATCTATACACCGCCACTTACCATCTTGAGCTCCATAATATCTCTTAATGACAACATTACTTCGCCCATGTCAGTTTTGACTAGACCAAATTTTCCCACGTGCCGCACTGTAAAAAGCACTCCCGCGACTTCGTCAGTGTCAACGTCTCCAAAGTCAACGTCAAACTTCCACATAGGGTTAAGAGAACTTTTGATCACTCGGGATTTAAAGGTTTTTTTCACTATTCCATGATGATGACCTCCAGCTGGCAGTGACGACAAGCTGTTTCGGAGCTGCAGTCCCGACAATGTCTTGAGGTCGTCGTCCCATCCGGCGCTACGCTGAAACCGATCCGGGCTGGCATGATGCACTAATGAGACCTCCACCATAGAGTGACTTGTAATGCCCTTGTGCATGGGTCGAAGATCGACAGCAGACACGACGCGTAGAGAGATGACGCAAGGTGCCGCCATGGCGTCAAGCTCGGCCGAACCGGGTACTAAAAGCGGCTGATCGTGGCGCGGTGTCAACTCCATGGCGCCAAAACGATCGATAGACTTTGTGGACATCATAATGCTGCTGCTGAGGCTTGACGCCGTCAGCAAAAAGTTGGATCTCACAGTAGAACAGGTGTGTACACGACAGCGGTAGGCAGAAGGAGTGCTTAAAAAAGAGAATGTAATAAGTGCAGTAAGAATCCGACTCTTTTTCAACTTCTTGGAATGCACACATTGACAAAAATTCGAGACTTCCCAACTAAACAATGTTTTTAAACTAAATATTCGTTCAGAAGCAAAATCGGACCATTTATTTTTATGGTCGATTCGATATGTTCAGTACCTGCGAACATGCGATAGAATTCCGACTTTACATATGTGACATTCTGAAAAGAATGGGGCACGATATCTATATAAGTTCGTATACCCATTCCAGCATCAATATTGGGAACATTCACTTGAGGTCAGCTATCGGTTCAGCACTTGCAACAATATATGCGACTGCGTTATACGTATTTATTCAAACATCAAGGAAATTTTGTCACTTTTGACCGTCCGTCATTTGGAATTCATCAGCTGCTTCTGTGTATCATTATTATTACGACTGTCGAGATAGGATGCGAAGAAGTAGATTATAACCGACTTGATACCACACCACTTACATTGCGCATATATCTGATGGTAAATGAAGTCAACTTCTCAAACGATTGGACTTGTTTCTATGCCGCGCGGGATTCGTGCAAAATTCGTGAATCTCACGTGTCCAATTCTGATCCATTTCAAGCCACGGTTTTAGAGGAAATATTTTCTTGAGAAGAGTTATGAATCGAGCTGATATATCAGAATGAGACCGCAAGTTTTGATTTGGAATTGCTTGAATTGCAGAGTATGTATTCTCGCAAGTTCCAACAGCACGATCATTGATGTGAATCGGCTGAAGACGTCCTCGAGTACGGAAAAGGTCTACCGGCAAATGCATCCTTAGCAAAAAAGCTAGAACACTGCAGGTGAGGAATGCATGCTTGAAGTCCTTAAATACAAATTATGCAGGATTCCAGAGAACGAGGAGGCAGAAAAAGTGCAAGGTATCAAAAATTATCAAATTTGATCTCTGCCATCGGTGTGGCTTTGTGTTTAAATCAAGAGCGGGGTACGCTTTACCTTAAAGAAAATTTACGGCGATTCCATCAACAACGAGAGGCACGGCGAAGATACCGCAGTCTTTAACTTCCTAGCACTGAAAAGAGAAAAAGACAGTTACTAAAACAAAGTTTATGTAAACAGTTCAAAAAGTATCTTTGTCCCTTTGACAAAGGCAGCTGAAGCCGAAAGAAACTGTAGAGTGTTATAGTCTCAAAAGTAAAAGGTGCGTTCCTGGCAATTCATGTTTTCCCATCAGTAACTTCCTCGTAGCACCGAACTTTAAAAGATAAATCATTAAGGGGTGACATGTCGACAGCGCATGCAGCTTCGATCTTGCTTCAACAATTAGCACTTCATATTATCCATCGAATTCGACCGACAGCAGAACGACTAGACTCAGTTCCTTTTGCCTGGGAAGCTCAAAACTGCAATTGTACCAGTTTAGTTGATCCAGCATATTCAATCGATACTAAGCCATGGTGCATTGTTAGCGGATACTTCTCGTCAGATTCGAGCCATCTCGGCAAAACGTATACACCGTTCGAGCCCTAACGCTGCTCATCCGAATTCATGCTTGGTTCGGTGAGTCTTTGACACGAACGCTAGATTATGAAACGACTGTGCAGGTCGAAAGGCAAGCTAAGCACTGCGACCACGTCGCATTTCCAATATGGTTGCGACCACCTTTATATCTCGATAAGACACACAGAGTGGCCTTAAGGCCGTCATGGTCTCACAAGATGAGATACATTTCGTTCGTTTGAAGTATGTGTCAAATCTGCCGACAGAAAGCAAATTGAATCAAAATTTTCTTTTAGTTGTCTGTTAGCAGCAGCGAATCGATCGGTTTTATATCTGGATAATTTGGCAAACCCGATGACGCATCCGCTGGCAAAGCGGGCAGAAGCTGTTTCCAGCTTGTCGGACAGCAAGAACAATGAGTATGGCGTGCATGATGTCAAATTGACTTTTGCCCCCCAAAATCTCCTAAAAGCACGTAATGGAGCTATCTGAAGACAACATTAATGATGAAGTAGCTAAAAAAAATGAGGATGGCGACATGCTGCAACGAGAAAGAGAAGTCTAAAGCTTCGTGTGCTATCGACCATACACAACAGCTACAGACAAAAGCTACTAGAGCGACTTCCCACGTACAAAAACTCAAACTTGTTTCTCCAGGTTTTTACAATGTAATCAAGCTATTCTAGTTGCTACCAAATCGATATAGTTTCTGCACAGGCAGGACACCATGACAACGTCAACAGCGATAGGAGAAAGACTTGAGTCAACTATATAATCGAATATGACACATGACGCGTTACATTAATCTGATGAAATTAACTGTGGATACTCCGCAATTTTATTTTGAGTTCTTTTAGTTACCAGCATCTTATTTGTAAGCCATGTATAAGAAATATGGCGTATCCCGTCTCGATACCAATTAACGGAAAAGTATTTCTTATCTTGGAAACTGAGAAATTTTCATCTGGTTCAATTGTATTCAGTGCACTACGCAAGTGTGTGGGTGAACGCACTAACGAAATCCATATCAAGTTTCTTCGATTTACTATCAGACCGTCGTCTATTGCTTCCTTCTTGCCAGCAGCATGTGCAAGATGCCCTCATGCTTTCTTAGCCGCTTCATCGATTTTTTCATTAATCGATCATTCGCCGTGCCGTCTCTATTTGTGGAAGTAACAGCAGCAGTACAATTGTGCGAACTTCATATCGCAATCGTGCAAATTATAACTACGTGGAGGAGGACACTTTTATCAAGGACATAGTATCTATTTCATATTATACTAAATAACAGTAATTCTGTTGCTGTAGCTCGAGTAGAGGCCCTCGACCCCGCTCTAACCTCTGTGCGTTTGTCATCACAAACTCATCGAATCGAACCTTTTTCTATAGAAACTGCCCAGCAACCCTGTTGTACATGGTACCACATGTAGACAATTTCACCACGACTTGGTCGGGAAAATGTGGATCCTCCTTGAAGATGGTACATGGAATATCTGACTACCTGTATATACTAGCTAAATAAACTCATGTCTATCGTTTGTCTACAAAACGATTGATTATCGCTAGTACATAATACATTTCATGTGGCATAACCAGCCACTCCCAAAACATATGCTCGGAGTATGAAAATGATATCACTGCTACTCAACATCAGTAAACCGTGCTGTCCTGAAGCACAGGCATTCCAGTAAGTAGTGCTTGCACCAAAAGAGTGGTTGCATTTAAACTTACAAAAAAGTGTCACTTGCCACTTTCTTTTCTGGGACTGAGTGTCGGCGCCGAGACACTCTCCCCATTAAAACTGTCAATAACCCCAAATCACATTTAATTGTCGCCTCATACGAGGCTCGCGTGTCTGAGACACCGTCGCGTTATTTTAGAACGACTTTAAACATTCTCCGCTCTATGAGCTCTATGTCTACGACACGCAAAACACCCCGCCTAGCTGGTAGCGAGGGTTCCCGCGGGCAAAGTTCTTCTTCTTTTGCACAGGCGGTATCTCCGGATAGTACGTCTGCGGCTTCACGGGAAGCACATCCAAGCCCTCAGCAACTGAGCGCAACACACCGCGCCCACCCTGGGCGACGGATTTCCTCGTCTTGTCCGTTGCCCGACCTCTCGACTTCCGATGGAAGTGGTATTATTACCAATCGGCTCGACTAGGCACAGGAGCAGTAATTGGAGACTGCCCACAAAGCGGCTCTCCTGCGCGATTCCTCGTTCGGTCTTAAGCCCTCGTATGGAGTACGGCTTTCGTTTAACGGATCCCGCTACTGAAGCAAAAGACGCGACTACTCGATCGTTAGGCGTCTACGTTGTCGGCTTCCCGGACACTACACAAGCTGAGCTTGGTCAGCGGAAAGATCCGCAAGCTCGCTTTTTGGTACCACATAAAATCCAAATGGATCGGTACCGCGCTCGACATCGAGCTTAAAAGGGAGGCGCCCATGTACCCGAAATGCGGATAATCCCAGTGGTGCTTCGCCCCTGGCGAAACCGCTGCAGACGATGATGAGTACTTTGAGTGATAGGTGCAGTGGCACCGGAAATATTCTTCGCTCCCTACTTGCAGTGAAGCCACATGGAAGTGGATGTTCGCGTTGAGCGCCATCTTAGATTTGAGTTTGCCAAACTCAAGGCCCAACGCCGACTACCTGGGTATTGTCGCCCTGTAACATATGGAACAATCCATAACGCTCACGTGAGCTCTGTGGCTTCTCACACGGGTGAGTCTACGACCACAGCAGATCAGGGCCATAGCTTGAGCGCAGCTCATGGCCCTCAGGCTTCCTGGGCTACTGCCAAGATGCGCAGTGCGCACGACGACGCGAAGCGTCATGATTATTCAGATCATAAGCGTCCACGACGTCTGGGCAGTCTTGCCGAAATGTCACTTCAAACTCCCATGAGATCGTTCAAGTACTCCCGCCACTTCACAAGATATTGGGTTAAACCCCCGTCGACAATGTCGACCCACAAGGCATTCCACGTGGTAGTGGACGCCACCATTCTCATCGAAACGAGTGGGCGGCGATCGACCAAGTCGTCCTCGCCTGCCGCCCGGTGACTCGCGATGCTTTTCGAGCTCTTGAGGACAAGATTTGTCGCAATCGAAACTCCGCTGAGCATCATGCTGGGTCGCATACCGCTGTGCGGAATACCCGAGCTCGGAGCACCTTGTGCACCGACTGCTCTATGCTGAAGACTATCCTGCTCTGTCAGAGCAGCTTCTAGCCGTCGAGCAGACGAATGCGTCGCTTGGTGCGACGGTGGAGCGCCGCCGTTGGAGATGGAAATCGTTGCACTCCGTGCTCAAAACCAGTTGCTGAACCAGCTTTTTGAAGATCAAGCGCCTGTAGGCGCCACTCTTGTACTAAGGCTTTCGCGTTCACTTACATTGGATATTCATA